TTTCTTTTATTAATGGTAAAATTTGTTTACTTATTTTTAAACAGTACAAATTTTATTGTTAATAAAATAATACTATTAAAGAATAGGTCAAGTGCCTCAGTATCGTCAAGCCCCTCACTCCCCCTACTGTAATAACATTTTACTAAAATAATTTTATAATAAAAGAATTTAAATAATTTGTTATATTTTATTTAAAAAACATTATATAAATAATCCATAGTTAAGAGTACAAAACCCACATCCAAAAATCCACCATAAAATACAAATTATCATAAAGTAGAATATTTATCATTATTATTATTATTAATATACCATACTTCCCTATATTTAAAACCAATTTTTATTTTATTTATATTTAAAAAAATATAATGTTTAAAAATATTATAATAATATAATAAGAAGATAATATAATATTTATTTTTGGAAATAATTATTATAAATTAAAAAATATTAATATTAAATAAATTGAATTGAAATATATTATAATATAACTATAATTTTATAATATATTTTAAAGAATTGTTTAAAATAATGTAATTTTTTTAATTCACATATTGTTTAGTTATAATGAACTCAATAATATTTGTTGAATAAAAATGCCAAAATCCAAACTTACAACCGACTTTGTAGTGAAAAAAAACGACGACATGAAACCGAAGAAGATGAGTAAATCATGGGCGGAGTTTAATGAGGAATTTAAGCAGCTTGAAAAAGCTAAACAAGCGAAGCTATTAAAAACCAAGGAAGATGAGCTTACAACACTTTTAGACGTTTCACCAAGTAAACAAACAAAAGTTTTGCAACTGCGACCAACAATTGCAAAAAAAAACTCATTGAAGAAAACCGTGAAAAAAGGCGAAGTTGATGATATTGTGTGTGACGAGCCGACACGAGAAAAAGAGGAGTCTGATGAAATTGAGAGTGACCCAGATGACTGGTCTAAAAAGTCATTAATTAACACTGATAAGGAAAGCAGTAAAGGGGAAAAGACTAAAAATGTTGAAATTTTAATCACGCCACTAGACACACAAACGGACGAAGTTACGAACAATATACACACAAAGACTTGGGTCAGTTCAAACATTTTAAACGCACTTTCACAAGACCTTCAAACCATTTCACCTGTTGTCTCATTAGTAGAAAGACTCGATTTCGATGCAAAGCATGAAAATGTCATAAACGACAAAAGCCAAACTCTATTCACAGTGTCAGATGAAGCACGGCCAAGGTCACAAAGTTTAATGGAAGTAGAACTCCCCCGAAAAGAAAATAAAGTCAAGCCAGTAGATATACAAACAGCAGAAATTGAGTTAAATGAACATCAACAGACAAGTTATCCCGATGTTCAAGTGCCAAAAATGGAGGACCTTTTACCTCAAAAATGTATTGAAAAAATAGAAAAAGTGGAGAAAGTTGAAAATAACAAAAACGAGAAGGAAGTGAACAAGATGGATACAATGGAAATTGAAGAAATTGTTGAGGTCAATGGTGAAAACATCAAAACGCAAATGGTTTTGATATCGCCAGAAAGAAATGGAGTAAAAGAGAAAACAGAACAAAACTTAAAGAAAGAAGACATACCGTCTGATGTAAAAACGCAAGTCATACCTTGTAATAAGGAAACTCAGAACGATCAATCAAAGACGGAAGACGAAGCAATGGAAGACACAAGAACAATCACACAAATACCATCGTTTAATGTTGACAACGCAACATTAAACGCGGATATCACAACACCACCAAATCAAGAAAACAGTTGCAAGGCGAATGAAATGGAAGATGTGCAAGCAAATGTTATTACCGACGAACCCACTGTGTATAACGATATTCTTGGCGATGTGAAAAGTGAGGAGAGTGTGGAAGAAAAAACAGATGAGAATAAAAGATATGAGTTTGGTATACCAGACGATTTGTCGAGTGTTGATGGGATTGTTTTGGTGAAGTTTTTGGAGAAGCACTTTTACTGTGGACAATTGCTTTGTTTGTATGGGTGTTACCACAAAAATCGGATATTTTCATTGCTGAAGAAAGGAGAGGTGAGTAAAGACAAACTGCCTGCTGTTGGCAAAGAAAAGAAACTTGAACAACTTGATGAGGAATATCCATTATTGGTATCGAAAAGTCGTGCAGTGTATAGTGCATACACGGGTACTGTTCCAGACGTCGTGTTTAATGAGCTTGAGACGCGAGACAGAGAGATTAAAAAGAAGTTTAAAAAGGCGATCAAAGAGAATAACAAAGTTCTGCTCTAATGGAGAGCACTTTTCTATTAAGTGGGTGTCATAGTAAGTAGTTGAGTGTGTGTAGAGTCTAACTTGAGTATGTTTTGTTATTAGTTTAATCAACAATAGAATAAAGAAATAAGTGTTATTTGGTGGATTGTTGTGAATTAAAACTGGACATATTTTGTGTTGAGTACAAAAGTAAAAGAACCAAAATGCCAGAAATGCTGTTTTTTGAGTGAAACATGAACGCAACACTCAAAATAGGATATTAAGAATTAGAGGTGAAGTAAATTGAAATTAAACAAAACTAATATTCTAAATGAGAGAAAAAAGTACAAAAAACAAACTAAAATGACGCAACTGAACACCAAGCGGACAAAGAACTCCAAAAAGAACGTTAAAAACAGAAAACAAAAAATCCCCAAAATGGCGAAAAATAGAGCCCGAATGCCAAGCGTTAAAGGCGGTGAACTGAAAAGAAAAAGCTTAGACTTGAAATTGCCTGGTTGAGATAAAGAGATGAAGGAACTGCAAAATCAAAACGATGTCTTCAAGCCTTTTGAGAGATTACTTTGAGATATTCGACACAGACCGAGACAAAATGATTGCACGCGCCGACGTGATGAGTTTGGTCAGAGCACTTGGGTATGCCCCATCACCGGAAGAGGAAGACCAAGTGATGAAAGAGATCAAGGGAGACTTAGTCAAAATGAACGAAGTCAAATCCGCCATTTCAAAAGTGAAAATGCATTCACCAAAAGACTGGCATGAGGGGATTGTTGGCGTCTTAAACTCATTTGATAAGGATGACTCTGGTAAAATCCAAGAGGCTGAGTTGAGACAAATGTTGAACAACTTGGGTAAAACTCACTTGACTAATGCTGAAACAGACGCCGTCATGTCTGAGTGCATTGTCGACTCATATGGGTATGTCGATTATAATGTCCTTTGCAACACACTTGTCAACGGCCATCCAGCTGAGAAAGAAGACAAATAAATCGATCCTTTTTTCATTTGTTCTTAAGTTTCTTTTTAATAGAAAAAAATAGTTTAAAACAAACTATAACAGATCCAATGCAAGTCGACACGATAAAGTTTACTAAATTAGTACCGCGTCTAACCCTCTTTTCTTATTTTCATGAATTCTTAAATAAAACAAAACAAATATTGCAACCCAAAACATATAATGAAGAAAATAGGAGTGATCAACAACCTCTCAACAGTCTCCGCAGTGTTTAACCAATACAATACGGAATTCTTCTATGATAACCCATACCCTCCAGAGTTCGTTGCTTCTATCCCAAAACATGAAGAGATCACAGAGGAGAAGGAAAAGTCATTTGATGTTGTGTCGCTCTATCACAAGATCACTGGTACTAATGAGAACTTCTTTACTTACCAATTTTCATTCAACCCGGAGCTGGAACAATACATCCAAATGCGAGAAATATTGGCAAATTACTTCAAGGGAGAAATGTTCTATATCCACAAAGACTTCATCTTCTTCAATCACCAAATCGACGAAGAAATCGAGGTGGACTTCGGAGATATCCCAATCACCGTGACTTTCACACAAACAGAAGCCTCGTTAGACCAGTTCAGAGCGACAGACATCATCAGATCGTCGTTATACAAAACACAGGATTACACATACCAGAAAAGACACATCTGTTGTATGGAGACAATCAAACACGACGACAATGAAGTACACCAGACGTTCGACGTCTGTGTCAATTCGGTGAATAAGAATTTGTACGTCCACTTCCCGGTGACAGACAGAGAGATCGACCCGACAAACTACTGGGATAAAAGCAAAACTATGACGAGCTTAGAAATTGAAGCAGGATTTAGGCCGGGGTGGTATTACAACAGAATTTCTAAAGGGTTGGAGTGGATCGACGACATTTTGTTGACTCGAACCGCCGAAACGCAAAAGTTCTTTTGGAAAGATAAAGAAGTCACTGTAGAAGAATATTACTTGTCAAGGTATGAAGGAGCTGTTCACTTTGAAAAGGGGCAGTTCCTTTTTGTTCAAAAACAGCGAAAATATGGGAGAGTAGAATTGAGTTACTACGTCCCAGAGTTGATGCATGAGGTGAGAAGAGTGAAACAAATCCACCCTCTTCAAGAAACATTGTTGGTCATTTCTAAAGCACTTGAGACACTCAATGTGTCACCCATAGCAGAGGCTTGGGGTGTTCGTGTTGATTCGGAATTAATGAAATGCACAGCACAAATGTGCAACGTCCCTCTTTTAGTTACCAATTTGAATGAATTTTCAGCAGACGAGCAGTGGAGGTTTCCTAATAGTTTTGTTCAAATGGTTCCTCTCAGGAATTGGATCTTTTATACCAAAGCAGAAAATTCCATGAAAGTGAAACGCGTAGCAAATTTGTTGTATAAAATGGTGAGGAGTTTTGGTGTTGAGTGCGAAGAGCCTAAAATTGTTATTCAATCGTCTCGGGATACGTCTGAAAAAAGAACTTTTGAGAACATTAAAGCAACACACCCACAGATCGTTTTAACGTCGCTGGACAGCCACGAACACGTCAGAACATTTAAAGACTATTTCACTTTCTTCACAGATATCCCAACACAAGTTATCGACGTTTGCAAAAGCACAACTGATGTTATCAGTCGAGTTGCTACCCATGTGTGTATGAAGGTTGGGAATGTTCGGTATTACTTAAAAGACAATGAAGAGAAGACATGCATCATTGGAATCGAGTCTAAAGAGTTGATGAGCAACAAAACCCTCGTGACTGTTTCATTATCAACAGAAGAAACACTCACACAATACAAAACACACTTTACTCTTGTCGACGGGCACAAGTGGTATATGGGTTGTGGATTCGAAGGTCTCGAGAACGATTTGAAAGGAAGAGACTTAAAGCAGATTGTTGTATATCGGGAGGGTATTTCCGAAAATATGATGAAGTATATAAGGAAGTACGAAGTTGAGGAATTGGTGAAAGTTGCTAAAAGAGCGTGTGGAGACGATGTTAAAATATGTTATATGTCCACTGATAACATTAGTTCTGCGTTGGCTGTGTACAACAATGGAGAACTTGTTGAGGCGAAGGAAGGGGCTTATGTTGTCAACACACTTGTCAATGAAAACGTGAAAGGGTTTATTCTAAACACTCACCCAGGTCTTTGCAAGACAATGAAGTGCACAGTGTTGTTCGACGAAATCAACTGGAAGCTTGAGAAGCTCATTCAGTTCACATTTAACATTTGCCACTTATGCCAATTTAAAAACAAAACAATGAAGCTGCCGTCGTGCTTGATGGAAGCAAGAAAGCAACGTCGAAACATCTTTGTGAACAAGTACATCGAAGAGTTGTTGCTGAATTGAGATCTTATTGGTTCACTTATTTTAAGATCCAATTCCTCAAAATCAAATAGACGCAATAAAATAATTAACTTCTTAAATCATCTTGCTTTTCAATTTTTCTGGTCGTCCGCGTATGGGTCGACGGATGGTTGTATTACATTAGTTTCTGGTTCTTCAGTAACGGGGTGCAAAATTGGTTTGGTGTCATCGTTATCACTTGGCCCCAACACAACTTCGTCGAATTGATTGACGAACGATGGAACAAACGCGTAGAACATTGCGAATATATAGGCGTTGATCCCAAACACAAAAATTTCCGAAGTGAATGCTAGTTGTGAATGAAATTAACATCGAAAGTCATCTAAAGTTCAGAATAGAAACAAACAAGTGTTGAAGAAAGAAGTATAGTCACTGAATATAAGCATCGTAAATTCAATACCAATAACAATGAGCGAAGTTGCACAGAAGTAAATGCACTTCACAATTGAGTTGTGTTTTCGTATTGATTGGTACGACGTGAAGAACATAAATATGATCCATATGAAGACAATAGTGATGAATATAATTGAAGCTGTGTACATAACAACAGAGAGTGTAGTTGCTGGTTTGATCACCGCAAATGGGTTATCCGTCATGCCTTTGTAATATAATGATGCGGAAAACATGAATGAGAATATCATCCCACCTGTGCATACAGCGGCAACAATCCATTCAACCTTTTTGTTCAAAAAGAGACCGTTATCAATTCTCAAATATTGGAAGAATGCTATAACAAAGAAGATGAGGTACGCCAAGAAAATGGTGTTCATGATCCCATGAAGAATCGGGAAGAATGGTGAATTCACTGCAAGTGCCAACAAGTCGATTGGGTCATTGAAAGCGAGTGCGGCAAACATTAATCCAATATTGAGGTATTGTTCGATATTGAGATTGTTTGGATATATCCTTCTTACCATCAAATAGACAAAATAATACACCAAATACCCACACGATATCACTGTAAAGAAAACGATATACACAATTCGAGATATGGAGTAGTTCTTTGAACCGTACGCCTGTGTTATACAAATATTCGAAAACTCGTCATATGGGCCATTTAACTGGACAGTAAGTCTCTCCACGTCGTGCATGATGTATGGCTCTTTAATCCACCACGATGAAGTGCAAGAGCCCTTTTCATTGTTGTAACAGTTGACTTGTGAAGTGTACATTCCTTTCTGCCACTCGACCCATTTTGAGTCCTCGTTGTATTCTAACGTGACATTTGCAGAGAGTTTCATCGAGTAAAATGATGGGTGATTGGGGTCGACATACTTTCTGTTAAGAAATGGTGTCATGAGCACTTTGTTCATTCTATTCATTGGAATAAGTGGTTTAAATTCAACAGTAAAAGCGGTTCCTTGGTTTGGGTCGATACCTGTGCACTTTGATGCGTCAAACTCGATGTTAGTGTGGTCGGTGCATGTGTACGCACATGTTGTAATTTCCTCGTAGGTTGACGGTCCGAAGAGTTGGAGACACGTTCCGGTTATTAAAAGAACTGCTATGACTGTCGGTAATATGATTTTGTCATACAACTTGAAGTTGTCGAGATGTGTTTGGATCTTCATAAAATTTAGAGTTTTTTAGTGAATAAATATTATTTGTTGATTTTGGACGAAGTGATGGGTTGTTTCTTATTAATTTTTATATGCATCAAATAAAAGGAAAAAATCGGGTTTTTTATTATTTTTTGAGGTTCTGTTCTTAGTTCTGGTGACGTGACAGTTTCGAAGGATAATCCGTGGACATTGCCGTATCTATTTGGCCTCAAATAACAAACACAAATGTGTCTATTGTATTTTGAAATACTATATTATGTAGCATTTAAACCATATTTAAATGATAATTTTATAATGTATGTATATTTGGGAGTAATAAAAAATAGGTCTAATTAATGAAACAAATTGCTGACAAATTTTACTTTTTGGTATAGTATTTAATTTACTTGGAAAAGTTGAAACAAATCTCCTCTTTTTTTTTCTCTTTTTAAAAATGTAAAGACAGAACTCAAAAATAAACACATTGATTTGTTAGATATAGGTAATACCTGTACTTACACAAAAAATTCGTTTTTTTTAATTATTTATACTAGTTTATTTATAAGTTAACTCTATGGAAGTAATGGTTTGGCAATTTAATTAATTTATATTAATGTAAAAATATAAGAATTAACTATAAAATAAAGGTTTATTCTAGTTAATAGATAGTTTTAAAATAACAAATTAAAAAATGTTTTTATATTCAATGCTTTGCAATAGGCACCAAGTCCCAGGTATTGTTTGAAAGTGTCGTTTTTGTTGTGTTGTTTGAGCGAATTGAATCGACTGTATTCGTTGTTGCATCCGAAGCAATTGTTTGACAGTCATCTATCAATATTGGCTCACATTGTCCTTCGTCGTCTTGAATTACAAATATCTCTTTTGTCTGTTGTTTATTTTTGTTTTTCTCTTCATACATCAATTCTTTCAACTCGTTCACAATTTTTAAAACGTCTTTATAGTATTCCTTTTGTGCTCCATTTCCATTAAGTGTTTTATTCATTTCGAGTGTTTTTTCTGTGATAAACTTAGTCATCATCCGCGCCTGGTCTTCATTCATCTTCCTCAACACTTCAACACCTTCGCTCACTTCTTCCATCTCTTTGTCGACGCTTTCCATATTTTCTTCACACTTAGTGATGTATTCCTCGATCATCTGGACTTCTTCCATCGTGGTTGTTTGTAAAATATACACAGAACCCCACTCCCAAGTATTTTTTTCTTTCCAGCAACTTCAATCAGAGTAATCAATTTCTACTCATTCACTCAATCTCGCAATCTCATTTCGGTATAAAAGACCAGAGTTGAAGAACAACTTTAAGAGCAAACATAACGACTGACAAAACAACTTTGATTTAAGTGTATTTATTTGGCCTTTTTCTCTTTTCTTTCTCTTTCTCTTGCTGCTAATCTCTCCTTCGCTCTTTCGGCGGCGGACTTTTCTAATACTGGTGCCGAAGAAGTTGTAGCTGGTGTGGTGTCTGTTGGTGAATCTCTTTTTCGTCTCGAGGACACGTCTGAAGTTCTCGAATGGTGTGATCTGTGCGTAGAAATGGGTTCGGATTCATCTGCTGCGGCAGCTTTTTCCCTTTCCTTTTCCTTCTCGCGCTCTTCTTTTTTTTTCCTCATGAATTCCTTGACTTGGTCTTCAGCTGCGGCGGCCTCGTCAGTTGTGTCTTTTGGCTTTTCTTCATCGCCTCTCAACAGTTCGTTATCTCTTCTTCTCTTTTCACGTTCAGCTTGTCTACGTTCCTCTCTCTTCTTCAAGTCGATTTGGCGTTGTTTCTCATTCAGTTCATCAATCTCTTTCTTTGCGTCTTTCTCCTTAGTGCTACGTGCTTTTTTCTCCTCACGAAGGAGTTTGAGGTCCTTCTTCTTCTCGTCGATCTTCTTCTTTGCGTTGTCGACGTCGATTTGCATCAACTCGACATCATTAGTTTGTTGTAACAACTCTGCTTCTTTGCTTTTCAGTTCTTCTTCTGCAGTCTTTGTCTTCTTCTCTTGTTCTTCTTTAAGTTGTTGTTTGCGTTGTTTAAGAAGTTCTTGTCGTTGTTTGAGTGCATCCATCTGTTGGTCGGAAATCAATTGCGACTCCAACTTCTTCTTCTCAGCAGCTTCTTCTTTCAACTGAGCTTCAGTACGCAAGTCATTTGTTTTCTTCTTGAGTGCACTCAACTTATCTTTCTTCTTCTTCTCTTCACGTTCAAGTTGGGCGTAAGTTACTTCCATCTCCTCGAGTTCTTGTGAAGTCATCTTCAACAAATCTTCTTCATATTGTTTTGATGTTGTTTCTTTAGCTAAGTCCTCTTTTGCCATATTCAATTTCTTCTTTTGTTCCGATAACTCCGCATGAGACTTCTTCACTTTCTTCACCATATCATTCTTCTTTGTTTGTGTCTTAAATAACTTTTTGGTTAGTGTGTCGAAGTCGTTCTCCAATTTCATTTTTTGTTTATCTTCGTATTTAATACTCTCGTCTAATTTATTCAATACCACCGTGTTCTCCGATTTCTCTTTATCTAAATCAGCCTTTTTATCGTTCGCAGAGTCTAATTCAAGGATTAAGGTATCAGACTGTTTCGTCCACTGGAGCAACTTGTCTTCTAATACTTTCATCTCTCTCTTAAACGTCTCTTTCATTTTGCACGTTTCTTCTAACAACTGATTGCGTTTGTCTTCTAACTCCTTTTGTTTCTTCTCTTCTTCAAGTTTTCGATTTTTCAATTCTTGCAACTCCCGTTGTGTCTCTTCTTGGATCTTCTTTAAGGCTTCATTCTCGGCTTTCACTTCTTCATACTTTAAACGAAGTTGTCGACGCTCAGGTGTCTCTTCTTTGGATTTCAGTGTCAATTCATCAAGTCTTGCTTGAAGGCGCTTCATCTCTTGCTCATGTAATTTCTGCTTCTCGGAGATCTCAAACTCCTTCTCCTTCTTGCGCTTCTCCTCTTGTTCAATTTGTTCCTGAATCTTCTTCGAACTGTCTTGTTCCGCAAGCGCTTTCTTCATCTCCTCCTCTTTCTTCTTGATCTCCATGTCGACCTTCTTTTGCTGCGCAGTCATATTCTCCTTTCGCATACGAAGTTCTTTGGTCTTCTCAGCAGCAACACCAAGGACACTGTCATTCTCAAACACTTTAGTATCTACTGTGCCATTGATAATACCATCGACACCTATTGATCAGAATATACTCAGTGATTATGTATTGGTTGATTGGGAGTGTTCTATTGAAATGTCGAAAATAGAACACTTCAATATCAAGTTGAAACTTTTTAACGAGAATGAAATGTGTATCAATTCAAATGTAATAAACGAAAGCATCCATTTTGAGTGATAAACGATAAAAAAGAACAAACTCGCTGCATTAATAAGGTCTTGATCTCTCGTTCGTGTTGCAGTTTTCATTGCAATTAAGAAAGCATTAAGTGTGTCCATATCCAAGTCTTGAGTTGTGAATTTCTCAATTGGAAAACGAGCATTTCCTTTTTCGAAATATTTGTTGTCGGTGCATTGTTTATAGACAAACTCTTTAATTTTGGTTGAAGATTCTATAGCCATTTTGTCATAGAGTTTGTGATCATTTGTTAAGGAACACAAAAGAGCAAGTGATGCTCGACCGTCTCGAAAACTGTCTTTCCCCGTGACATTCAATCCGTAGTCCTTTACTATTCGTTTTGCCCAATAAACATAATCCTCCTCCGCCATTTTTAAACAGCAAAATCGAGTTGTTTTTTATAAGTTCCCCCGTCTCTCACCCAAAAACTACGTATTTTTAGACAGACGCAATTTTTTCAAAAAGAAAAAGAACCATTCCTTTAATTACTCAAATTAGTCTTCTACTAAAACCCTCTCGTCTTTTTCAGTTTTCAATTCATAACAGAATTTTTGTTTTTCAAGCTTTTGTTCTTCTCTTGTTATATATTTTGAGGCAACACACCTCTCAGAACGTCTTTCTTTAGCGAATTATTTCGGGACTTTGACTGGTTATTTTACTGGACTTCTCTGTTGAAAAATACAAGACCAGTCCTTGCATTTCAAGTTTGACTTTCGATGTATGCGTTGTATTATTAGTTTCTTTGATATTCGACTTTTTGTTATCACAAACAGTTTGCATAACAAAAGTTATAACAATTCAAATGAACAATGTAAATTACAAGAAGAACAGGAAACTGTTTTTAAACTCAGTCACGATCGACTTACTGTCGATGTTAAACATCGGAGAACCATCTTTAATGTTGTCCGCCCATAAGTCATATTCGCGCCTTTTCTTATCATAAGCTTCTAATGCACGCTTCATTGACATCGCATTCTTGTCACTCTTCGGCATCACTCGAACTACTTCACGCAGTATATCGAGCTTCTCACTTAACTTTTTAACAACTGAACAATCCAGTTGAAGCGAATTAAACCCAGCAACACACCGCTCCTTATAGAGAAGCATCTCCCCTTGGCTTAAACAATCCAATTTACTAAACCTACCGAGGGTTAAGAAGTAAAGCAGAATGATGTGAAACCCATTTCTGACCGCATCGCACCAATGTGTGAAAAAGTACATGAAGTGTTGTCCAAGTAAGAATGAGAGAATAAATTCCTTTCGAATTTCATTGTTAATCGAAGGAAGCACATCAACTAACATTTCCATGCCAATGGTCAGAGCTTCGCCATTGTCCGCATTGATACAGATTTGAAAGACTTTCATCAAGTGTCGTGCATCGATAACACCTTTAAGTAACAAATCCTTCGAGTGTACTGAGAGAAAGTTGAACGATTTTTTCAAGTGATCCATCAAGAAGACTATTTGTGGGATGTTAAACATATTAGTCTTCTCAGAGTACATTTTCAAGACCGAGTTGAACATATAAGGGAATCGTCTTAATATCACATCCTCACACATGAAGAACGTGATGTCTCTCCACTTCTCTGATCGCCATATCTTTTCCCTTTCAATGAGAAACTCGTCAAATAAATTGACAAACTCGGGCGTTTTCAAAAAGTCCGGTTTATGACTTTCAGACGCAAATAAGAGCGACCCGCGGAGTAAACAAGCCACGCGCTGTCCATTCGAATGAAACGGGAAAAAGTGGATCTCCTCGAGACAAATATTGTCCATGATGTAACACTGATCATTTTTCATAACGGTGTCCGCATCGATAATTGGTGAGGAAACCCTCTCGGGGATCTTCTGTGGATTTCCCATGAGAGACTCTTTTAAGAGTGAAGAAAAAGAGGAACGAAGTGATGGAAGGGAATATGAAAGAGAGACTAACAACTCGCCGTAAATGACTGCAAACATTAAAGGAAGTGTATCTAAAATTCTTCTCTGAATGATTGTTCTCAGTAATTTCGTCAATACGACAAAGGTGTCGATACAAAAGGTTTTGTAGGTCATGAAGAGGTGGAAGAGTTGTGGCGATTTGTGCTTTGCAATCATGACAGACACCAACTTCATGGTGTCTAATGACACACAAGAAGTGATGTGGTACAAAGCGATCATGGTTGAGTCTTCCGAGTACCCGTATGATAACGCTTTGTTCATTTCTTTCCAGAACGAAAATACTGTGGTGTAACAACTGACCAGAGAAGAAGTGCTGGATGTGAGTTTTTCATTATTAGTTGAAATAAACAAACGTCGTAAAAGTGGGATGGTTGTACTTAATGAGAGCAAGTCGACTCACAAAAGTGTCAAGAACGTGCTGAGTGTGAGTACGAAAAATCAATCTATTGAATTGATATTTTAAACAAACTGGACTTTGGCCTTTAAGAAGTGCTGCGTGAAGTATTGGTACTATTTCAGTCATCGCAGAGAGCATGCTGGCAGTCTCTTCGCCCAGTGGCATGTCGAGTGAATGAACTAAGGGATATTTAAATTTCGAAAGCCCTTGTTAGGTAAAATGATAAGTAATAAACTAAAGACAAAAACGCAAGTCCCTTTTTTCATCCACCTTGTCAAATGTAGGATGAGTTTTACTACATATAATAGTTTTGTTATTATCATATTATAGTTTTTACTTGACGAATAAAACACCTAATTTTCAAAGCTTTGTTCTATTTTTATATTGAAGTTAAGTTGACTTTATGGTAAACAGTGGGCAGCTAAATATTTGATGGCAGAAAAAACAATTATTTCATAGTTAATAAAACTAAAATATCAGGATAAAAAAAAGGTGTTTCAGATAAGTATAAGAACTCCTCATTTGCAGTTTAATAAATCCTTTTAATTTCTTACATGTTTGATGGTTCTAAGTTTTATTTTCATTTTTTCAACTTTAACTATATTATATAATTTGTTTACTAACAAAATATAGTTATTTTTTCTTTCATTTTTTTTAATTTTGATAAGTAAAGTGACCATCAAAAAAGTGGTAAAAAAAATATGATTTGTCCTACTTATTTTTTAAAAATGACAAAATATTAACAAAAATGGGTTGATTCACACAAGTTAACAAAATATTTTAAGAAATTATATTATTTTTATATTTTTTAATATTAAGTATAGTTATTATTAATAGTAACATTCAACCCCAATTTAACGTAACCACAACAATTAGGTCTGCAAATTTTGGCATTAAAAAACAACAATAATCAACAATGAGTAATTGTAAAACCTTCAATTTTCCCAAAAACAAGGAACAAAAGAGCATTCTTCACTAGTACTTTTGTTATTTGTTTTTGCTTTTTATAACTCTATTGAGGGCAGAGTTATTCTTTTCTTTGTTTTCTTGAGCCACAAAAACCATATTTTGTCGAGAAAAGTTTTAAATATTTCAAATAATAAATTAATAATAATTATTAAAGAGAAAGGACGGACATGGGGACGAAGGACGGGAATATAGGCCGAAGGATGTCCTTTGTGGTTTAAGGATGTCCTCCCGCTATAAAGGGCGTCCTTTATGTGTATATGGTGTCCTTTCTATTATTTTCGTGTCCGCGGCATTTTTAATAACTATATAATGAGTTATAATATTACTATGAATTTACTATTATAAAATATAATTATTTCCAAAAATAAATAAATTCAAAGACAAATGTTAAACAACAAGTAATTTCGTTATAAATTAATGGTTTTTATAAAATATGCAAATTTAATTAGTTTTTCAAAGAAAACTCAATGGTAAAATGAAAAAAAAATGATAAATTTTTATAAACCATTAATATATAACAAAATTACTTTTTAAATAGTTTTTGTCTTTGAATTAATTTATTTTTGGAAATAATTATATTTTTTGATTGTATATTTATAATAAAAATATACTTTGTTATATAGTTTCGATAATGAATAAAAAATGCCGCGGACACGAAAATAATAGAAAGGACACCATATACACATAAAGGACGCCCTTTATAGCGGGAGGACATCCTTAAACCACAAAGGACATCCTTCGGCCTATATTCCCGTCCTTCGTCCCCATGTCCGTCCTTTCTCTTAAGTCATTTTTTTTACTCAATTCCTCTGGCATTTATGAGTTAGTTTACGCCTTTTTTTTAATTCAGTATTATTCTATTGAAGTAGCCAAAAGTGTTAGGATCTGTAAAAAAAAATAAAAATTAGCACCCAAAAATTAATAAAAAAGCTTTTAAGGGTTTAAAATTTTTCATAAAACGTGGCATTTCTTTTATTTAAAAATCACAAAAAAAACTCACCAAATAATTTTTCATGTTTCTGTTTAAAAAAAAGCTTTTCAATTTGTTTATAAAAAAATCTGCATTGAGTCACAAAAGTAAAAACAAATATTAGAACATTAATAGATGTTATTAACTCTGTGATAATAAAGACATGATAAACTATTATAGTCGGGTGATAAAGGGGGTTAATTTGGGACAGAAGTAGTTAATTTGAGTAAAAAACTATAAAATATAATTTCTTTAACCATAAAAGTATTAGAAGGGTTTTTTCAATTAACTACTTTGAAGATAATAAAAGAAAACCATAACTTTTTATTTTTGATATTATTCAATCTTTGAAAACAATGGAAGAAGAAGAGTAAAGAACCCTCGATGAAACAACCACAGGCAATCAACACAAAAAAAGCAATTTAAATACAAGAAACCAGTTTAAAAACTGTATTTCAATATATATTCATGATGTATATGGTTAAAATGCCAGAGTTTAATGAATTAACTACAATGTCAATCTTTTAAAGTGTCACAGAATCACTGAAAATCCATCATTTGTTGAAATCTTTCAATCTTTCGTTGTTGAACCATTCCCATTGAGAAAGGAAAAGAGAAAGACCATTTTAACACCAAAACAATTGGAGTTGAAGAAGAGCAGAAAAGAAACGAAACAAAGGAAAAAACAAAGGAAAATCCTTTAACAAAACAAGTTTCAGACAAACCACAAAAAGTGCTGCGTTTTAGACTTCCACATTTCTCTAAGCGAACAAATTGAGGTGTTTTTGTTTATTTTTGAAATAGAAATTTATAATTATTCAATTTATAATCATTTAAAATTAAAAAACTATAATTTAAATTAATATTTTAATTTTATGTTTATTTTGACCTTTAAATAGATTTTTTAAAAATTATAGTTTCAAAATTATATTTATCAAAATTAACTACCTTTGTCCCTTTTTAATGCTATTTATCCCCCGACTATAACTCATAATTTATTTTCTATAAATTGCATATAAAGTAAACTAATGTGCCACTCGAATATAAAAACACAATGTTGATTATAAAGGAAGTACAGCAATGGAGATGAAAGACGTTGGCGACATTTCATTTGAGTCTGACGCCATCACAATCCACGACTGCACAAAGTAGACCATCAGAAACACATTAAGCAATATCATGATTTGGAACTTTTGTGTCTGTTCTTCAAACGATACGCCTTTCACTGTTATGAAGTGATCTCCTCCACCTCTAATAACACCATAGAAATTCGGTCTAACGTCATTTGAATAGACCAACGCCATTGTATTTAAGTTGTGAAAGTCTTTTAACTCGAGTGTTCCGTTCTTTGCCTCCAACAACCCACGTTTCACCAAATTTCTCCACCCCTCGATGTCATTATGGATCCAGTTCTTGACGATGAGATAACATCTAAGAGCTTGTACCGTCCCATTCTTCTCGTCGACACGAAGAAATGTGTCATTGAATGTCCCCTTCTCAATAGTGCACCCCGCATACATCTCAATATTAAACTTCCCAGTCAATTGAAGTGTTGTATCCCCATAGACTATGTTATTGTCGGCGTCTTCGTAGAAAGGAACAAATTGTCGAAAAAAGAGGTTCCCCCGCTGCTGTGACAAGACGTCGATGACTTGTTGCAATTGGTTGTCCGACAACGTGCAGACACCACTCCCTATTGTTACATTCGGCTTGAAGGTCTTGTACCCCCCTTTGTAATACGCAAAGCCGTCGATCGGCATGTCGCGCAGTGAAGCACTCGTTTGCGCATCGACGTGCTGGAGAAGATTTTGCTGGTACGAGTACAAGATCGTCACAAGCCCAAACGATACTAAAACAAACACGCACAACAGGTAGATCACTGATGCGTGGTGTTGATTCGATTGCATCTTACTTCTTATTGTGTTCTTACTTGAGTTTTCCCCTAAACCATTTGGAACCTCAACTATAGTTATTTTATTAGTAATTGTTAATAATTGATATTAAAGATAATATCAATTGGTTATTTTATAGTTTCACAATAGTTCGAAATATAGATACGTGTAATTCTTTTCGAAGATTTCCAATAATTAATTTATAGTTATAAAGTGATATATTTTTTCGAAATATTCTATCAATAGAAATTGGTTAAATCAATATTTCAAAAATATTATAAACATATTATAAACATATTATAAAGAAACTATAATTATATCTGTGATATTTTTTTTTCCATGATAAAAATTTTATTCGAAATTAAAAAATATGGTAAAATTAATTAATATGAGTAACTAGAAACTCAATTTGTTCTCTTCTTATCCAATATCTCAAGAGCCTCGACCGCTACTTTCATTGTCGGGTCGATTGACGATTTTTTGATGTCACAGAAAGTGTTGAGTCTTCTATTTGCAATGGCCATGCAAATGCAGCCGGCGTGGACGTGGTCGAAGTTTTGTGTGACTTGTGCAATTGTTGAGATTTCCATTTCGAAGTTCTCGACTTTGACATCACCGACTCCAACGGTGGCAAGGACTTCATCCAAATTTTCAATGGTGAGTGGGTTCTGCTTGAAGATGTTACGTCCTTGGCATCCGAAGAATCCCGCTGCCGATGCGGTGATACCGACTTTATTAGGCAAGTTCTCGTTCTTTGCTGCTTCCAATAACGCTTCGACTATCACTGAGTCGGGGACGGAAACGTATGGATGAAGTCTTCCTTTAAACCTTCTTTCTGGCTTTATCGCCACATTAATCTTCTCGTCGACTTCCTTCTCGAGACATTCTGCATTTTCGTCCTTTAAAGGGATATCATAGAAGAGTCCAGTGTTCTCTAATCCAATTGCGTATTTGGTGATAATAGACGTCCCCAACTCGGTATCCGACTGAACAGCACCAGACGTCCCAACACGAATAATGTACACATCTTTCTTTATATCGTCACATACAACACGCTTCTCCACGTCAATCATTTTCAACGCCAATATTTCATTGATGATAATTTCAGTCGAGCCCGTCCCCATTCCGGTTGTGACTATAGAAACACGGACATTGTTTTGTGTTATTCCAGTCATCGTGGTAAGACCTCTGTGGTCATGACGGAAAATTGGCTTTGACTTATCGAAGACCAAATCGGCTGCTTTGGGCACTCTTTCAGGGTCTCCGACAACAATGATATTATCTGACAAATCCTCTTCAGTTATGCCAAGGTGGTAAATCGTTTTACCAGAGGCTGGGAGGGTCGCTTCAGTCAATTTAGTCATTTGGTTAACTTCTCTTTGCAGTTCCTTTTTCTATCCAAATAATATCATTCCACAACTGTCGAATAGATTCGAATATTTTTTCTTTCTACCTTTATCATTTTTATAGTTTTATTGTACCATTCTTGTTAGTTTGGACTTTCATAAGAACTAATTTAACTCGACACCTTTAATAACATCATCCGATAACATATTTTATAATTAATTAACTTATAAATATAGTTTTAACATATACAGTTATTGACAAAGATTTCAATAACTTTATTTTAATAGAACTTCTATACATTTTTAAAAACCAAGCACTTTGTTGTTGAGCAAAATAAAATTAATGAATATAAGACTGCTATTACAAAAGAGACCCCGGTGTTAACGTTTGTAAGTTGAGTGCAGCGCAGTGGTGTCCTTCTTTAACGGCCATATTAAGGTCTTCATTTTTAAGTAGAACTGATGCTAATCCAGCTGTGAATGAATCACCGCATCCTATTGGATTAACTATTTGGTTCACTCTTTCTATGTCAACATGAGACAAGACACCGTTACTATATATAGACGTCTTGTTTTTACCATCAGTGATGATGAGCGTTGCTAATTTTGATATATCAACGGCTTTCTCTAAAGATCCAAAAGTACTTAAAAACTCCTCTTTGTTGGGTTTAATGAGGTCGACATTCTCTTTAAGCATTTCAGTGAGGACATCGCCTCTGACATCTCCGATAACAAAACATTGTTCTTCTTTTGCAATTTTTGTCATTCGAGAAAAAATGTTCGACGGGATACCCGGTGCGATACTTCCAGTGAACACAACTATCTTAAACTTGTGTGTCGTTATCAACTTTTGGAATGCTTCAATAAACAATTCACTACTTTCGGTCACTGGAATACCTTCTTCGACTAACTCAGTGGCTTCAGAATTACATAACACTGTCGTACAAAACCGAATACCCCCAGCTTTGACTGTACACAAATGAACCCCATCTTTTGCACACATCTCAGTAAACCACTTCTCGTGTTGCCCATTGACTTGTGTTAGTAATACATTTGGAACATGAAGTTGCGTGAGTACTCGACACACATTAACTCCCTTCCCAGAGCTACACCAATATGATTCTTTGGCTCTATTGACCTCACCAACACTTAACAATGAAAACTTAAGAGTTTTCTGGATTACTGGGTTGAGGCAGACAACGACAACACTCATTCAGTATTATTAATAGTTTGTTTTTTTAGCCTTTTACTATAATTGATGTAACAAAACTAATAAAATACGGTATGTTACAGGATCTCTTCAGAATCTGTGCTTTCGGGGAGGATGTGTTGTTCGTCTTCCTCAATTACCATTGTGCCAATCTTTGACTTTTCTTCTTCGGAAAGATCGTTGTTTGTGTCAAGTCTATTCCACCCGACATTCTCGATAAGGTCTGGATTGAAACTGTCAGAGCACGAAACGTGTTGTGGATACGGGTAACTGTTTTTCATCTTCGGGTAAAACGGTTGTTTTGCGACAGAGCCACTGATCTTTTCTGCGTAGTTGATCACCTCGTCTACAGTAAATACGTTACGCGCAGCAACAGATTCGCTCATTTCAATGATCCGCTTTGCGTCTTGTGTTAACTTCTCTATTTTCTCGAGACGGTCTATCACATCTATTCCAGTCGATATCAAGTCCATATGGTTCTTTTCTAGATATATCAATTTGTTTTTAATATTTATTATAGTTTACATTGTATTAAATAATTGTTATTTAATTATAGTAAAAGTGATAGTTTCACATTTTTACATCAATTATTATTATTTTTTAATAAATAGGTTTATAGGTTTTTTTTAATAAAAAAATTATTGTTTAATTAAACAATTTAATCTATTGTTAATTTTTTGAAAAGTTTTTTTAACTTGAATGACAAAGTTAATAATTAATTTAATAAAACAAAAAAAATCGGATGCCAAATATGCGTTAATGTTATTTCTATTTATATTCAATTAAAATATAATTATTATTTATTATAAGACAGTGGTTTTATTGTAAAATCAACAATTATTTCACATGTATGAGAATTTAATACAATAAAATAGTTTTAACTTCCCAAAATTTACTTTTAATGTCTCATTTTATTTATAAAAAAACTTTTCTGGGAAATAATTAATAAAAAATTGTTTAAAATTTTTAATAAAAAAACACTCCCTTTTTTTGTGATGTTTGATTTGCTAAAAATAACGGGAAAACATCGTAATGTTTGAAGCAGATTATGGGGAATTCTAAATGTAATTTTTCAACATTGGCAAGTTAGATGTAGAAAGTAAAAATATTATATTTTTATAATTATTTTAATGAGGGATTTAAGTGTTGTTTTTAGTCATCTTTATAAAACTGTAAAGAAGACTCAATAGTATTTATGTAAATACCCGTTATTTAATAGTTAAAATGATTGAAAACAATTTCATTTTTTGGGGAATTTTTTTTTGTACCAGAAATAAATGAAAGATAAAATCTAATAATAAAATATCAAAGCTATTGTCATTTGGACAATTTTTAACTTATCATGCCAAAGATCTCACCATATTTCTATTTTTCACTTAAATACAATTTTAATCAACATTTTTATTTTTCAAAAAAAATGTATTGAAAAATAAAAATGCCATAAACAACGAGTTGATAATGTTGTTTATCAAATAATGGTTATTACGTTGCATTTCATTTTAATAAAATTTTTTAAATTGGTGATAAGTAATTTTGATTATTAAAAAAACTTATTTTATTGAAAGAGTATTTTTGCCGAATTTTTTGGCTCTTTTTTCTTTTATTTGTAACAATATTCCAATTGTTATTTATATGAAGAAACTTGAACTGTATTGATTCATAAGTATGAAGAATCTGTTCAATACAATCGACGCAGCTGGAACAGGGTATGTTACTATGTATAACTTTTTTAAACATATCTCAGACGAAATCAGTCAAGAGGACGTCGAGCCACTCATTCTTCTTTTCAAACTGACAGACAAAGATGAAGACGGTAAACTCAATTTTACTGAGTTCAGCAGATTGACGGAGATCTTACAAGAAATCAACGACCAAAATCACACGAGTGTATATACGGCACTCTTCCACCTCCTTGACACAGAAAACAAGGGGTTTCTTGATGAAATTGAGATCAATAAATTGTACCATGCTTTGGGGTATTCAGACGAGTATGATGCGACTTTTAAAGTAAAAAAAATGGACTTGGACGGGGATGGAAAAATTGGGCTCCACGACTTCTTGTCTATTGTTTGCTAAATGCAGACTTCATATCATTTGTAATTCAACAATATTTTATTGTTTTGATTTTTTTAGAATTTGTGATATTGAGCTCTATTTTAATTATAGTAATTAATAAAATATTAATTAATATTAAACACCTGAAACGCCATTGAACATGATACACGTTGTCTAAAAATCGGGAATTTTTGACTTTATTTATTATTTTCCCTTGGTTTTAGAAGTTTATTTTTTGTGGTCTTAAAAAAACATAGTAATGTTTATAATATATTTATTATCAAATAACTACATTTTATCTTAAAAATTGTCACTTATAGAATTTAATAAAGATAATGAACGACGTGATATAGTCTGTAATTCAATTATTCACTAATATTATTTTAAAAAGTTATGATAAAACAACCTAAACTGATACAGTAAAGCAATATTAATTAACTACATATTTGAAACAAGTACTCTTGCTTCAGTTTGTTCAGCCTCGGGAATTGCAACAGTCTCTTTGATCACAACACACTCCATTGAGTCTGAGTCACTTTTGTCTTTATCATCGCTGTGAACAGCTTCAGACACAGTTGAAGGCAATTCTAAAGGAACATTTTCAGATTCGTTGACACCTTTTGCCTGTTCGCAAAGTTTTGAATCTTTTGGGCTGTTTGGCATGTCATTGTTGTTATCCTTTTTCCCAGTTCTTACAATTGTTTTCATTTCAGTTCCTTCTTCTTCATCGGGCACAGACGTCTTTTGTGCCTCCTCGTTCAATATTTTTGTCATTGTCCTCTTTGTGTAGATAGTTATTCCAATCAATAACACGATAGAAAGTATTGTTGTTCCAACCAACACGCAGATATTAAGTGGGTTGTATCCGGTGCCATTGAACATTTCTGCAACTGACGAAATCGCAGTTCCAAAGTACGTCACGAGGAGGTTACTTGGAAAGAGGCCAAGTGCTGTTCCAATTGAATACGATAGGATACCACAGACCGGCCCGAGGGTATAGTTTAGCACGGGGAACGGGAAGATAGGCGATATCCGGAGCATAAAGATAAACACAATTCCCTTCTTTTCAACAATTTTCTGGATCAAACCGATCTTTGGATGTTTCTCGATGTAGGAACTGATGATGCTCTTTCCAAAGAATCTTCCAATTAAATAAGAGACAAATGCGCCAAGGAAGCACCCCATAAAGCTGACGAATTGACCGAACCACAACCCATATAAATACCCACATGCAAGTGTAAATGGTGTTGCAGGCAACATAAAGACAAGGTCGAGAATGAAGAGGCCGACGACGATGAGTGCAGAAAGGAACTTGTTTGTGTCTTCAATGAAGTCAAATACGGTAATGAGGCCTGCTTTGACTGGGGAGTTTGGGATAAATAATAAAACTAAAAGCACTACAATCGATAACGAGAGCAGGGCCAACAAACTATACTTGACGTAAGACCACTTGAAGTTCATGTGTATATTGTTTGATTTATTTGTTTTTCGAAGTTTAAAAGCCGTGCTGTTCCTTCATTTTGATCGAGTATATGATTTATTTTTGAAATACCATATAAATATAGTTTAATACTATACTTGTACATTTTTTTATTTGGAAAGTGAAATAATACTGTTTCGTCTTTTTTAAACACTAGTTTTGTCTAAAGTGGAAAATATTGTTAATACAAATAAGTAATGACTAAATTAATGAAATAATAACTATTTTTTTTGTATATTATAATAATAATAATATTATATTATTGATTAAATTAACTACTAACTAAAATCTTGTAAAAAAATGAGTAGAGTTGTTTTTCACAAAAAAAAATCTTTGTGGTCATCATAAGTAATTATGTGTAATTTTTGCGCTTTGATTTCGAAAATTCTTTGTATGGTTTGAAAAAGTTTAAGAAAAGTAGATAAAAAACACTAAGGACTTTTAAATAATAAAAGAGCTTTGGTCAACTTTTTCTATTTTTAGCAGGACGAAATCCGCTTGGAGATCAAAAAAAAATCCATCTAAAATTATAATTTAAAAACAAAGTTACAGTGGATATTATTTTGAATTAATATTTTTATTTATTTAATAAACAAATTAAGAAATGTATATTATATTAATTATAAATTAATAAAAAATTATTTTAATTTTTTTAATTTTTTTAAAACAAAGAAATAGCAAAATAGCAAAAACACATCATATTATCTCCTCTAAAACAAAGCCAAAATTGCTTTAAATTTTCAATTATTTTTTAAAATCGATTAAATCAATTTTTCCTTGAATAAACAGGAAATTGACGTTAAACATTATTTCAAAATATATTTTTATATATTCTTAGAAAATAACTATTAATTATCATCTTGATTTTTCTATAACAAAATAATTATTAATTTAACATTCGCTAATATTCTTTTATAATATATTTAAATTGCTATTTATAAATTGTTTAATTGGATAATATTTAAATAATTATATATTAATACGGTTTAATTAAATTACATCTATTGTCGAAATCCTACTTCTATCAGCATTTGGGTAAATCTTCTTGTTGAATTAATAATAAATTAAAAAATATGTTTTTTCCCCGAAAAAGTTCATAATTATCTCCATAACTTTTTTCAAATCATCACAAAAAAACAAACCTTTATTTTTTAATCATCCAATTTTTACATTTATAGAGCAGTGTCTGTGTTTGTATTTTTTTCTTGATTTTTGAGTGTTTTTAATAAAAAATTACTTTACCCAAAACTATAAATAAATTTGAGGTTTTTTTCGAGATCAAAACTATAATTGAACTTTACAATTTTTTGTACTTTTCTTAAAAATACACTAAAATGAAAAGCGATTATAATAGATAAAAAACAATTCAATTTTTTGAATAACATTTCAATAAAAATAAAAAAGTTTTTCAAAATGTTTTATCTAAAAAATAAAAAATCTTCAAAAAAGAGAGAAAGTTCTAGAAGATGGGGCTTTATTTTTTTCTAGTGATTGTCGTGTGTTATTCGGGGTGGTCTGACATAAAGTGGCTTCCTGTGTATTTTGCGGATGAAGAGTCCGACCTTACAATCTCGCTTTCATCGCTTACAAGTGACTTCTGTGATGAGAAGGCTGTAATGGGGTGCTATTTAAACATCACAACATCATTTCCATCCATTAGACTTAAAGCAGAGCATTTGAACTACGTCTTCATCAGGTCGTTCACAGAAGACTCTAACAGCCATGTCTGTTATTCAAACGTTTTTTCATCATTGGGGGAGGTGACAAGTACATTATCTCCAGTGAATGGTGTGTTATATGTTCATATCGGGACTTCCGCAGACAACACCACAACAGACTCAATACCCCTCCGCATCACACACGTCCACAAATCATATAAGTTGATATTTATAGGGGTGATGTACATCATCTCAATCGTGTTAGTCCTCCTGCTCGTCATCGGTCTGGTCGTATTCTACTTTTATTCAAATTGGTCCTTCGCAAAGCAACAGAATGAGGCACTTGTCGAAGAAAATCTCAATTACCAATCATCGTCCCAGGAACACGCATTCCACTCGGAGGAGCAGCAAAACTAATTGACAACTTACACCTCCCTCATCCGCCGTTCCTTTACACACTCTTTGAACTCATCAAACAGCGATGGCACTACTTTGTAATTACTGTATTATAATTATTGATTAATTTTATCATAAAAATAATTATAAAATTATTGTAGTATACATATAACATAATTTATCATACAATACTATTCTATATAATATATCATATTTATAATATAAACAAACTATACGGAGGGATAATGGGTTCCAATGTCAAGATGGAATTAGCTCCAAGGGAGAGACAATTCCACTCATCTTTTTTGAGAAGTCCACCTCGAGTTGCAAGAAAACTAACAAACTCCCCGAAGAATGGGAATTCGCCGTAGAAAGTAAATAACAGACTTTTAAGGGTATCACCCCCAAGTCGCTTGTTGTGGCTGAAAGAATCAAAGACGTAACTTTGGAATTGAACTGTGAGATGCTGCGATGAGTTGTACTCTTCTAAAGTGTTGGAAACAACGTTAATAACGTCACCGTTCTGCTGAATTCCATTTGTTGTCAAAAATGATGAGATTGTGAGTGATGACGATGATGGTGGAACGAAGTGGAGTAAATACAGTAAAAATAATCCCTTTTTCTAACTTTTTAGTATAATTTATTAATCATTATCACTGGATATCTAGTAATTATTATTAAATAAGTATAATACAAACTGAATACAAGGAAAATCCATAAAAATTTAGTATGAATTGTAAATCTTTGGAAGTGAGAATGGGATTTTTCGTAAATTGCAATAAAAAGAGTTCTTCACTTATAAATGTCCGATGCTGAACAGGAAAGGTTGTCTAACGATCAGAACATAAATATAAGTAATAACAAACACAATTCTCGTTTGGTTTCCGCTTGATCGGCTTTGCCGAAGCCAGAAATGAGCTTATAATATTGTCGCGATCTTCAATTTCCATTTTTAATTTTTGAGTTCCATTTTGTTTGAATAAGTCCAAAACAAGTAAGAAATCGGGGTGTTGTGTTATTGATTTTGTTTCAACAAAAAACAATAACATTTAAAAAACATTTTATTGAAAATGAGAAGTTGAACATTTTTTAACACGTTGTTGTTTTGTTGGACGCCACGTCATGTTTTATTTTATCAAAGAGTATAGTTAACTGTAACAGTTTTTATAATACATAAAACGATGCCAATTTTTTTGTGAATAAAAAGGATTGAAGAGGAGGAACGACACAACATAAGAAGCGATGGGAGGACGTGACTTTTATAAAATTCTGGAGGTCTCACGTGATGTGAGCGAGAGTGAATTAAAGAAGGCGTACAAAAAATTGGCGATGAAATACCATCCCGACAAGAACCCTGGTAACAAACAAGCCGAAGAGAAATTCAAAGAAGTCGCTGAGGCGTACTCTGTCCTTTCTGATCCAAAGAAGAAGGAGATCTATGACAATTATGGAGAAGAAGGGCTTAAGTCTGGAATGGGTGGAGGTAATGGCGGGTTCTCATTTGGAGGGTCTGATGCATTTGACATCTTCAACATGATGTTTGGAGGAGGATCTGGAAGGAAAGGGAAATCGTCGTTCTCCTTTGGTGGGATGCCCGGCGGATTTTCATTTGGCGGGATGCCTGGAGGGATGCCAGGTGGTCAAAGTTATTCATTTGGAATGGACGATGACGATCAATTTCAACCGCGACGTCCGAAAAAACAAGAGAAAGCTCCCGACGTCGTAGCCAATTTGAATTTAACATTACAGGAGCTTTACACGGGATGCACAAAAAACAGAAAAGTGACTAAAAACATCACTGATGACTATGGAAGAACATCACAAGAAACAAATAACATCGAAATTAATGTACAACCTGGGTGGAAAGACGGGACCAAATTAAGATTTGAGAACTATGGGGATGTAGAACCTGGTGTCATTCCAGCTGACATTGTCTTTGTTGTGAAGACTAAAGAGCACGACGTTTTCAAAAGAGAGGGCGATGATTTGCACTGTGATGTCAAAATTACTTTACTCACCGCATTGACTGGGGGATCATATACATTGGAATGTATTGATGGCAAAAAAATAACAAAACAGATCACAAAAATTATCGGTGCAGACACAACTGAGACAATCGAAGGAAAAGGTATGCCTATCAAGCGGACTGGGAAATATGGGAATTTGATTGTGCACTTCAAAGTACAGAATCCAGTTTACTTATCTGAAGATCAAAAGAAAGGTTTAAAGGATGTGTTAAACACCGTCAATAGTTGGGCTTGATTAGATTATATGCATTTGTTATATTCTTTTAACCATTAATAAGTAACACACACCTATTATTATTTCCATCAGTCCGCTGTTTGCGCTAACAGCTTTCTTGCTGCATCAACCAAACACTTCTTTTTTGACTCTGCTCGTGTAAAGAGTGTTTCGTATTGGTCGATAAATAGAGAGACAACGTCGTCTTTATTTGCTTCGCCTTCACTGATTTTCTTTAATTGTCTTTCAGTTTCCGCTCGTAGAAGTGGCCGTGAAAATTCAAACCCCATCGAGTCGTATCCCTCCACAAGTGCAAGGCCCAAATTCGTTGGTGAAAACCCTCCTTTAATGACAACGACATATTCTCTCTCAATGATCTTTGCAATGTGTTGTGCAATAGTCGCATCCGTCCCAATCCCATTTTTGTCCATCAGTTGGATGAGTTCGGGTTCTGTGAGTGGTTTTGGGGGCGACGTCTCTCCCATTTCTTGTGTGAGACTTGTCACGTCAACTGTTTCTCCCTCCTCAAAGTTGGGAATTTGCTTTTCCGTCCATTTTCGATACTTGTAAATGTCAAGGTAGTTCCTTTCAGTGATGACCAACCCATTGGCATGAAAACTCTCCTCCCCAATTTGCAGCCCAATTTTCGTTTCAAACCCCCTCGCGTCGTCAGACAGATTTGCTAAATAACTCCTCACAACAAAGTCGTATATTGTCTTTTCATTCCCGACAAGACCCGTTTCAATAAGTTTCGTTGGGTGGATGGGCGGATGTGATTTGTCCGTCGCCTTCCCGTTTCGTGGGGGTTTCATCTTTCCGTCCAACAGTTGTTTGACGTATTCCCCATATGTATTTGAATTGGCGAACATCTCAAGTTGTTTTGTGTGATTCATATCAGCCGGGTAGATATTTGTTTCCGTGCGGGGATAACTGATTAATCCGCTTTGATACAACTTCTCAGCAATAGTCATCGTTTGGTTCGAAGAGATTTTAAAGAACTTTGAACATGATTTCTGTAAGTCGACGGTAGTCAATGGGAGGGGTTTAAAGTTCGTTTTACTCTTTTGGAGGATTTCAGTGATCTTTGCTTGTTTGACTTTGTCCAACGCGTCTTCATAGAGTATTAGACATGCTATTCGATCAAACAGTCTGTTCCGATCCCACAAAAATTCTGTTTCAATGCCTTCTTTCTTGACTATACATTTGATTTTATAGAACTTTTCTTTGGTGAACGACTTGATTTGGTAATACCGATCGATAACAAAGCCAAGGGTAGGAAATTGGCACGCTCCATAACTGATCACTTTCAAGTCTTTTAACACAGGAACTTGTCGCTTTAATAAAGTGGTTTGAAACCGAGTGAAAGCAGCCCCCGTTCGCAAGTCAAGTTCTTGTCTGATGTCGACTGCGTCCGATAGATTCTTATCTGGCGGTGTCAAGGTGCGGTAAGCACGTGCTATTTCGACCGGAACTAAACTATTAAAATGTGCTCGGAAGACTTTCAGATGCTTGTTGACGCTCTCGCAGACATCAATCACTTCAAATGAAATGTTCTCCCCTTCTCGATCACAGTCCAACCAAAGAACTAACGTATCTGCTCCTTTCGCTACATCTTTTAAATTGGCCTCCGTTTCTTTGGAACGAGATGGGACATACTTCGCAACAGGTGCTGTAAATAAATCGACTGGATTACACATCCCCCAATTCCTGAACTCAGGGGTAAACTCGAGTTCCATCAAATGGCCAGAAACACTAGTGACCACCTGATTTTTCATTCCTTTGTCACGAAACTCAGCATCAAATTTGTGAATCGGGTTGAATTTCGACTTCCCTTGACACTTCTTCGACTTCCCTTTACTTAATGTGTACGCAACTGATTGGGCAACACTTGGCTTCTCGGCTATGTGGAGCACGTACTTCACCATATCATTTCGCAGTTTTCAGAGTTTTATTGAGGTTTGTATGGGTATAACAATTAATAGTTATATTTACCATATTTTGTATTGTTTTCAAATGGATTATTTATAATTGAATGTGTAATACATTTTACTATGATAAAATGGTTGTTTTAATAGTATTGTTATTAGTTGTTATAAACTATGATAGATATAGTACAAATATAGTATAAAAGTTAAAATATAAAAAGAAAAGGATTAGATGTTTTTGGAATTTTCGATTGATTGGGCTTTTGAAAGGAGATCATTGATAATTCCAATCTGTCTGGAGTCTTCATCCGATATCATATCCGACGTGACATTGAGTGGTTTGATTTTAATTCCATCGAAGTTTGTAGTATTGACGACTGGGTTGAATTCCAGTGAAAGACCAGCTGTCGTCTTCAAGTCTGATTTTTGTGCGTCGCTTCTAAAGAAAAATGAGTTTTTGAATTCTGGATCTTCCTTATCGATTTCGATACCAGTCAAGAAGTCCGTCTTTTCTTTCTCTTTACCGACGATATGTTTCAGTCTTGAATTTGTGATTCTCAAAAAGTCGAAGAACAGAGGAAAGTCGATAGGACAGTTGATATTAACGACACCGTCCCACTTCTTTTTGGCTGACAAGAATCGTATTTTAATCCCGAGTTTGTCGACCGCCACAAATCGTCGAATGATATCCAATAAAATAGCAGCGGGGATGTTGTCTTCATAATCATCAAATCTAATGTCAACTACTTTCTCCTTCAATGCAAAGTAATTGACTTTACCAGCTGCTCTCTTCTGCCCATTTGTCCAGTCCGTTTTCTTTCCGACCTTTTTAGCTTCTTCTTTTGCTTTAATCTCAATGGCGGACTTTCTTTTAGCCGCTTGAATATGAATATTCGTGTCCGACAAGTCTTCATAGAACGACACAATTCGTCGGATCTTTCGAATGAATTTGTCAGCATTGACGACTTCTGCCGGATTCTCGCTCGACTTCTTCTGAAGAATTTTGATCTTGCTTTCGATGAACTTCTCGTTTTTCTCTGAAATCTCATCTTTCAAAGTCTCCTCACGATTGGTCAAAGCAGAAAGTGTTTGAGTTGTTGTAGTGTTCCCCATTAACTTTCCTCGCAATCGACTCGCAAAACTTTTTCCTATAGAAGACCCTTGCAATGTCGATCCAACATCTGACGCGATGTCAGATATTTTCGACTTGGACTGTGAAAAATCGAAATCGTCGGTGTCATCGATGTAGTTAACGGTTTGCGTTTGTTTGACTTCAGAGAACGCTTTCACCTTTTCCTCAAGAGTGAATGAGGCGCCGTCCAACTTACAATCTGTCCCAAATTGAAGACATGGTAAGATCTTTGCTATTTCGACTGTGTAATTGGGAATGAATGTCATTGGATTACCAGAGAGGTATAACTCCTCTAAGCAATACATCTTACGAAAGACTTCAAATGTCGATGGGTCTCGGTCTATTAAATTATTCTTTGCGCTCAACTTACGCAAGTTATAGAGTCGTTTCAGACCATTTAAGTGCTTAAGTTTGTTGTTATCGATGGTGAACACGGAAATGTTACGGACTTGTCGGCACGAGACGACTCGGATCTCATTATAATCAAGCTTCAAAACGTCGAGGGGGCGTTCCCCAATTCGTTTAATTTTAGTGATATGGTTGTGTGACACATCAAGGACTCTGAGGACGGGGAAATTCTCGGAGTTAAAGATGTCTTCCAACTCCGTCAATTGGCAATACTTCAATTTTAAGATTTGAAGAAGTGGCCAACGGATGCGTGATGAGGTACCTAAGCCTAATTTCTCAGAAACAGAAGACAGAGAAACTCCAGTGAAATTGAGTTGTACTAAAGTTTTATTCAAATCCGTCCCACTCAATTCGACACCACATAACACATTCTTGACACCTAAATACAGTAATTTACACTTCTTTGCAAATACTAATGGTATTTGACTTGATTCAACATCATCATCTTCATCAGCTATAGTATCTCTACAGATCTTTAATGCATGAAGTCCAGAAAACATTGCATTCACTTTCTCAGACTGCCCAAATTCGGGTTGTGCCATGCCATTCAACATCAGTGCTAGTGCAGGAGATATACACACTTTATTTCCATCGTCCAGTTTCGAGATCGAGTCGTCGATCACCTGTTCGATGTTTTGTGGGCCTTTCGATTGAGTTAAGTTACTGATGGGTTGCTTTTCTTCCATCGAAAAATAGAAGAACTTAATATTACTTCTTTTTGAAGTTTTCATGTGAACTCGTTAATTGAATGGTTGGGTGGTGTGTATCTGAGTTTTTGTTATTACAAATGTTATTTGATTGAATAACATTTTTTAGTAGAGAAACAAAAATGGATTGAATTCTATTTTAGGTTCAAAAATCAACATAAAAATCAAAGAGGAACTTGGAAAGGTATTGATGAAGGCAATAGTGTTGACCTTACTCGTCGCTCTTTCTTTTGCGCATCAATTTAGAGGTGGCATGGAACCGTTCCAGAGACGTATAGGAAACGGCCAATATTTCTCTCAAAAAATGATACCGAGAGACTCAAATGAGTTCAGAGAGTTCAGAAACCAACGTTTCCATCACCAACATAACCACCACCAAATTGAACGTAACCAACCAGCACCACTCCCGTACTTCCCACCAACCGCTCATACACAAACAAATACCACAACTGCCCATCACATCGAAGAAGAATCAAATTATTTGTATGACTACATCAATTGTGAAGAGTTCGATGGATGTGTTGGATGCTTACTCACTTTTGGAAAGTGTGCCTATGATAATAGAAAGCATAAGTGTGCAAACAGAAACACTACTCTCCCAGTTCAAGATATTTATGAGACTTGCCCAGCTGACGAGGTCGCTTATTTCGAGCAACAGATGTATGGCGCGACATTGGTTGTTGTATGTTTATTGCTCATGTGTTGTGTCGTGTGTGTTAAGTGCTGTTGCTGCCACACCACCAAGAGACGTCATATGAGAAGAGTTTATCGACGTGTCGTCCCACAAACGTACAACTGTCAGCCCGTCTTAGTTGCTCCCGTTCAGATCCCAATGAACTATCCACCACCACCAGCTAATGTCAACTTCGTCCAACCAGTTTATGGTGTGAGACCTTACTAAACTACTTGATAATTAAAACTTCGTTATTTTTTGTTGCAAATGTACCCAACAAATGAATTAACTCATTGGCATTTGAATACCAGACTCAACAGAGCGGAGTCGGTCTTTAAGTTCTTCATTTCGTATTCTACGTCGCTCAGACTCTTTCTCCGCCTTTTCAAGACTACTTTGAAGAGATACAACTTTGTCTTTCAACGTTCTAATTTCACTCTTGAGAACCTCTTCAGACTCCGCAAGAACAGTACGCTTTTTCCTCAATGAAGATATCTTCTCCTGCTTTTTAGAGAGGGCTTCTTTATAGTTTGTCTCAAGTTTTTTGAACAATTCTTCCTTCTCAGAGAGGCGTAATTTTAAAGCATCCAATTCCTTTTGAAGAGATGGTACTGAAAGGTCTTTGTCATGTTTGTGAGTTTGGAAATTTGCTAGTTTGATCTCATACTCCTTCGCATTTGATAGAAGATCCAATTTTTGTTTTCGCAATTCGTCGTTTTCAGTTTGAAGCAAATTGACTTTGTTCTGAAGAACTTTCATGTGCTCCTGGATGTTTGTTGTCTCACTTGAAGTGTCTTCTGGGTATGGAATAATGTCAATCGGCTTCTTGTTGATTTGTTGCTTTAACCTCTCATTCTCTTTAAATAAGACTTCAACTTTGTTTTGGGCTATTGAAAGTTGTTCAGTGAGGATTGAAAGGTTAGCAGAGTCTTCTGGCACTTTAATCACTTGAACGGGTGCATGTTTAGCTTGTTCAAGAATACGTTTTAAATCACTTTTATAGCCATGAATGATCTGAGTCTGTTCACCATATTGTTTCTTAAATTTTGTGAGTAAATCATACGTGTTCTTCTTATCCACTAAAGCCTTCGACTTCTCGTCAACAAGTTGTTGTCTCATTTGTTTGATTTCATCATCTTTCTTCTTGACTACTTCATCAAGCTGCTTTTGAAAATTAGTGTGTGTGACCTCCTTAATGTCTTGCACATTCTTTGAAATGGTTAAAACATCTTCTTTACTTATTTCTCCACCTTGCTGCTTCAAAACTATTTCTATAATCCCATCCAACTTCGAATTTAATTTTTCAACACGTTCATTCATCTCCTTCTCTTTCTTTTTTAAAATATCACGAGGGCAGTGCTTTGCTTTGCACTCTTCGATCTTCAGATTGTATAACTGTTGGTAGTCTACTTCCATTACTTTTCTCCGTCAATTAAAGTTCTTTTACCTAATATATAAATTGATATGTCATAATATCAATTATGTTAATATGCATCTATTCTATTTATAGTTTAGATATCTTTCTTAACATTAAGTTTTATAATAAAACTTTTATTATTATTGAATTTAATTATAGTTTATTGTTTCTATTATTATAGTTTCATTTAACCATATAAATTCCATAAAAATAGAACAATATAGATATATGAGTTTAATAAAATTAACCATTCTTACTAGTAAATTGTGTTGTGGTATATTAAAGGGGAATAAATCTAATAAAACGGGAGAACAAACTATTAATCGCAAAAGGAAACGAGATATATTAATGACTTATTACGTTGATGAGTATGTTGGCCCTGACGAATTTGTAACAGGAAAAACTCTCCAACTTATACTTGGAGAATTTAAGAACCATATTTCAAACAACGTGAAAGACATCGAACCACCAAAAACACAACTCATACCGCCACAAAAATCCGACAAAAAGAACTTTTTGCGAACAACACTCCACCCAATGAAAACGTCATTTAACTCCATTTTTAAGACGTTTTCACAAGACGAAGACGATATGCCTGTAATTTCAAAATCCGAAGAAGCTGTTTCAACGCCAATTACTTTGCATGTGATTGACGAACAACTCGATTTTATTTCCAAGAACATTAACTACATAGAGAAATGGGTCGAACTCAGAAAGTACTCAATAGTGTATGATTCGTCAAAATTGAATGAAACGATATGTCCGTCACAAGCCTTTTATGATAGTATCAATAAGAAATCCCACCTTTTGTATTTCATTTTTTCACGTGACACTATCTTTGGGATGTGGATGGGATTTCCTGTGGTACACGGGAAGTCTTGTTTGGGGCCTTCAGACTTTATGGTTGGTTTTAAGTCGAATACAATTACATCACCAAAGCGATTTGTCCCAAAGAAGTATTCACTCACTGCTAAGTTCAGTGTATTTAATCGAGAAAGTAGCGAAAGTGGCAACGAGTACTTTAGGTTCTCTCATGACAAGTCAACTTTGTGTTTGAACGATCCTCAAACAATGAGTTTCCATTACATGTGGAACTCTTTCTTTGTCGACGAAACAAAGAAAGGCACCGTCGACGATGCACTTCCAAAGTCAAACACATTTATAACGGAACGAGTGGTTGTGTTGTATTTTCAGTGAATTTGTTGTTCGTTTTTGTTATTTTCAAATAGAATTGATAAGACCAAATAGTGGTATTTATTGGGTTCTTAATGACAAATAAAAAAGACAATGGAACTTGAAAAAATTGAATGAACTTTTTTAAGTCACTTGTTGGGCCAAGTCTTCCTTATGAAAAACCAGAACGCCTTGTTAGTGTGAATGACCCCGGGTTCACGTATCACGTGTCTCACTCCAAAAAAGTCTCCGACAAAAAGGCAGTTACACTCTTTGAATTTCCACCCCAAAACCCAAAGATACTCAACGAAAATGTACTGAAAAGGTTCCGTACGCTCAAACACCCAAATATCGTTAGTTACATCGAACACATCACAGTCGATAGAACTGTTGTTGTATTAACAGAAGAGGTCTTTCCACTGACTTCATTTCTCTCATCGAATAAATGCACAGATGATATGATCCTTTGGGGACTTTTCTCATTAGCTAACGCCCTTCACTTTTTAAATGTGAGTGCTAAGTTGGGGCATTTCAACGTGACCAAAAACTCGATATATGTGACAAAAAGTGGGGAGTGGAAATTGGGAGGGTTACAATTGGTGAGTACTTTAACAGACCCACAGGACTACAAAAGTTACATTGAATCTTCCCGTTCGTTGGGACATCTGCCAAATAACATTTTATCAGAATATGTCGACTCGTTTGCATTCTCAAAATTGGCACTCCAATTGTACCCAAACGCACCACCAACACTCCAAGCACTCATTTCGAATTTGGCCACTCAACCAGTTACTGCATTTTTAACACATCCGGCAGTTTCAACACCATTTTTGACGATTGTTTATAATTTGGATAACTACGCCGGACTTGACGAATTCTCGAGAAGAGCTTTTTTGCAATCCATTTCTAAAACGAAGCTCCCACCACTCTTTTGTCGATACAAATTACTTCCTTTCTATTTGGACTTGTTCAGATCAAACATGCCAGAAGCTTCTTCGGCAGTGGAGTCGGTTTTGAAATTGGCAGGTGGTCTTGAGGACGACGAGTTTGTCAGTTTGGTGCAACCCTATCTCACCAAATTCCTATCATCGCCAGACCTTTCAACGAAATACGTTGCATTGAGTAACTTGAGACACTGTGTCAGCCATTTCTCAAAGGAATATTCCGAAACCCTTTTCTCGTGTGTGTGTCAAGCTGCTGATCACCAGAATGACAAGATAAGAGATGCAGCGCTTCGAGCAATGTTAGCTTTAATCGAGAAACTGAGTAAATCAAAAGTCGTTGAAATAGCAAATAGATTTGAGAAAGGGATTAGTGACCCATCTCCTATCGTACGTACAAATACTACCGTTTGCATCTCAAAGGCGGCATTGAAGTTTGACAAAGAGACCAGGAGGAAGTTGTTGTTGTGTGGGATGGCTCGTGCTGGGAAAGACCAAGTCAAAGAGATGCGAGTGGCTGCGATGAACGGAGTCTTAGATAGTGTTAATGAGTTTTCGGAGTCTGATCTTTCGCGTAATGTTCTGCCTTATGTCGTCATTTTTTTGACTGATTCTATACTCGATGTGAGAGTGAAAGCTGTCGAATGTTTTACAAAAACAAGTGAAATTGTTATTAAATACGTCAACGATCTCAATCAAAAGGAAGAACTCGATAGGAACTCAAAAACACCACAAAACGTCAAAACTCCGTTAGTAGAAGAAGACACGACACACCTCAATCTTAAAAAACCGGCTGATGTCGTTTATGACCAAATGAAACCACAAACACGAATAACAACAAGTCCAAGTCTGTGGGATAATAACAGTCCTAATAGTGGCAATTTGTCTCCTTCGATACAAAAAGACGACGTCTTCTCAATGTTTGAAAACACGGAACTGAAAACAGAACAACAACAAATTCCAAAGCAAATTGAAACACTAAAAGAAGCAAAAACAATCAAAAAAGAAGACGAAGATATCGAACGACTCACTGGACTCATAGGAAAGCCAAAATCATTCCAGAAATCAACACAAAAACAAAAACAGCTTGCCGAGATGGACTTGCCTGACACGTTGCAGAAAAAGTCAACAAAGACAATCATCTTTGAAAAAACAGAGAAAGTCGAAAAACAGGAAACTCCTCTTAATGTCGATGTATTCACACAACAAGTCCCTCAAAAACAAAAACAACCGGAACAAAAGAAAGAATTGCTTTGGGGAACTTCTAATGCCAATGACGACTACTGGGACGAGTGGTGTTTGTTTTGTTGTATGTATTGTATATCAATATTACCAGAATAGTATAAACAATTTAACAGTTTTTAATATAGTATAATTATATATATCATCAATTAATAGCAATCGAAACTCACTCAAAGCAAATGCGATTGACTCGAATAAAGGGAGGGGTC